CCCGGGGGGGGGGGGGGGAAGCTGTGATGTTATTGCTCGATCTGAATTGCCTTTCAGAACAATTTATTATACACTGGTGGTCCGTTTGAAATTCATTTTATCTGCTTTATTACACAGAAATACAAAAAACATCTGGTATATTTTAAATTCGTTTAACTTCTGGTTGATCACAGCAGGACAATTTAGATTCATGTTATGATTTTAAAACATCATGTGTTCAACTGCAACGTAAAACTGGAGTAACATGCCTTGTAACTCAGAACTGTAAATAAAAATAAATGACAAAACAGTAGCAGTGCAACAAATTTAATGGAAGTGCACGAGGTCAACATACAACAGTGGATATTCTACATGCATCCTCTGCTATTCTACAACCCTCAATTATCACGCATTACATTTACACGTTATTAACAGAACTACGAAAGTGGTTACGTATTCTATTGTTGGAATGGCTAATAAACAGCCTTAGCAATTGCAAGCTTATTGCAGTGGAGAATCTTGGTCTAGAAATCAGGTCGTGCAAAAATGCATTATTAAATCCCCCAATCCCTTCACAATGCTAATCGTTAACGCAAGATCTCTGTTGCATTAAAACAGTCTGCATGCAACACGTGATTTTAGAATCGCAAGGCAGCGAATATGAAGGTCGTGTCTTCTGATGATGCACCGTACAGTCCAGTAGAAGTTTACTCGCCCTAATACGAAGGCAGAAAATACCTCTGACACGCAGGTTAACTTTGCTAGACTACAAGGTCCGACATATCAGAAGATGTCTTCATTACGCTGTAGATCAATCTAACATGAGCAAAAGCTTGGACAAAGTTCTCAATGGGGCACACCTAAGTTACAGACTTCCCGATTACCAACGAGTTTTATGCAAACAGTGTACCATATAGCATATGCTACGTAACGGTAACATAAATTTTATTCAGTCCCAAAAATGTACCTACTTAGATATGAATAACGTGTCGTATATTATAAAGTCTTATCACAAGACTTAGCCACTGCAAGTGAAAGTTTGGTACCTTATTTTGCCATGTGCAGGATTGCCAGAATTTTTTGAAAATCCAGTTAGCTTATGCCTTCATTAACTATAAACTGTATAAACACGTTTGAATTCATGTCACAGCACACTGGTACACAAACCTGGTACTAGGCAAAACTAAATACATCTACACACATATCCATCCACTTTATAAACCAACAGCAACTTGAACTTTTTACACTATTAATTTGCTGTATCCAAACGAAATCAGACTAGTATTTTAAATACCCCAACACATCTTATTAAGATTAAAATGCTGGTAAATAATGAATTTAAACATATCCAGTATCGGCATCAAAGAACCAGACCACTTACACATGACAAACACTAGAGAAAAAACAATGGAACAGAGAAGAAACAACAGCAGCATATTTCAATTTTATTTTATTTTACATCAGGAATTTCTTTACTCATCAAATTGATAATACACTCTCTAAAAATACACAATATATTAATACAAGCATGCTTAAAGGAAAGAGAAAACAACATAGTTCAATTTGAAGAACTTTATTTTATATTCAGATTTCCAACAATCAGTAACATTTATAAATACAATATCTTCTGAACATACACGTTGCTTCACCTTTCAAGCACCCAGTTCTTCTCATATGAAATGGCAGAAATAAAATCACCAGAGGACAACACTGCACAGAGTAGATATACTGCTATGACCTTTATTTTCTACTCATCTGAAACATATATAACTGTTCCTTGAAAAACATAAAACAAAATTTTTGAGGTTAAAAACAATAACAAAAGAGCATCAACTGTACTCACAGATTAACTCTTGATAAAAATGTTAGATATGGTCATACAATTGGCTCATCCACACTACTTACGTTGGATTCATCCTCTCAATTTAAAATTACCGTAATCACAGGGTTTCTTTTTAGACTGATTACACACATTGCTGTTCAGTGTTATTAAAAACTTCAGAAATTAGCACAGGATATATAAATATAAAACCAAATATTATAAAAACTACTCGATGAGGCAAATATTTAACGACATACAAGGAAAGAAATGCCGGGCTTCAGGATAGTGTAATTCTGCATTTGCATCTGTAATAAAGTAACTAGCAAAACAGATTACGTTGATAGAAAATAATCTGAAATGTGATAATGATGCACTGGCTGATAAAAACTAAAAAGAATAAATAGCTGCAATACCTTTTTCTATAACGTGAATTAGCAAAGATCCCACAGGGAATGAAACACACTTCAAATGTCCTCCTAGGGACTCATCTGAAAATTTGAAGCGATAACTGCCGAACAAATAGAAAAATATCTTACCTGTCTCTCTCCATTTATGAACAAAAATGGCGTACCAGCTATTTTTTAAAATTAAAAACCATAAAAAATTAAGGTATGTATCTTATGGTTAAATATGGTATAACCTTGAAATAAAAAAATATAAACTTGGAGACTTTTACTGCACACGCAATCTGGCAGCTGCTTCAAAATTACAAAGTAGGTCACATGATGTACAGTTGAAGAGTGAGAGGGTAATACACAGGAAAAGGAGGCATACCCTGAGACTAGACATACTGGGAGAATCAAGACAACAATGATTTTTCAACTGACTAGACTGTAATGTCAAACAAGGACCTACAAAAAGTAGTTACATTCTATTATGAACTACTACCCTTATATAAGGAGGTACTAAGAGGACCACATGACAGGTAAGAAATCATTCAAATAAGAAAAATACATGCAAAGTTCATAAAGCTTGGTATTACGCTCTATCACATACCTGTCGCTTAACAAAACAAATATCAGTGTAATTTCTGACACTGCATTCTTGCAAATAAACGGCCATGACAGAACTACAATATAATACAGAGAACTCTCATTACACATACTTTTGTCAGCCATGTTTTCACATATCCACGATTTTATTTCAGAGTTGTAGCGCTTGTGGGATCACTTCTACCATTCATTTCATCCAAGTCATCCAACAATGACTACCTGTTTCCGATATACATGGCAATTCAAAGACTGCAAGCTATGCACAGTGAGCCACATATATCGAAACTAAACTGTACTACTTGCTGACCTGGAAAAAATATTCATAAAATGACTGTTAAACCAGTTAATTTCAATTCCATTCTAGTATGTTAAGTGCATCTGGTGACATTTGAGTGCACTGCTTACCAAAATGCAAGACAGGGTTTTACCAACAGCGCAACCAACAGGAGGCACCTAAGAATTCAGAATTAAACATCACAAATAAATTTTCTCTACCAAACCATTAGAGGCATGCACCACTCACACACTAACCTAGGCAGTGTACTCCAGCGGCCCCCAACCATTTTGTGCCTACGGGCACATTTGAGAGTTTATGAGATCGTGGTGGGCACCAACCAGTTAACAAAGCCAAAATTTCTTTTCTCTGGACAAATGAGATATGGACACCAAATAATACACGAAACAACACAATGTTTAATGATACAAGAAACCACGCAATCAAAAATACGTACTTTTATAAGTACAATTATTATTACTCAAGTGGGAAGTTAGTGTGCTGTTTGGCGCTGCATTTTATCGGCCAGTTTTTCAAATGTGGGAGTGTAGGATGATGTTGCTGCTCGCAAATAATCGTCAAGATGGGCATCAGCAAGTCGAAATCTGTGCTTTGATTTTATAATGTTCATGGTTGAACGGCCTTCATTATTCAGTATAACCTCTTTCCGTAACAACGCGGGCACCTAGGAAAAAACCTTGGCAGGCAGACCTTGGTGTACTCACTTAATCACAGAAGTAAAAAATCCTTAGATAAACTCTGTTACTTTAAAAACCCAACAATTATCACAAACCTTTAGATTTGCAGTTCTCGCAAAAGACAGTCTTCAAAAGCAAAGTGGTGATTTCATGTAATATACCAGTGTTAGCAATGAAAACCTAAAATAATAAACAAAAAAACTACATACCACATAGAGTAACCATTTCTTCCAGCATCTGAGATTTCAGCAACCACAAAGCAAATACTGCTATACCCGAAAGCCGATGGACGCGGCGTACTTTCAACTACCAAGCCAAACACAGAGCTGTGCAGAAGCTAAACATACGGCAATGTATGGCATCAAATCAACACAGCATCTATAAACAATATAATTTAATAATTTGCATGTAACAGCAATAATATGACACTTTAAAAAGAAAATGGCATGATCCCACAGAACATTTGTATCGGGCCTTTATGACGATAAAATATAAAATCTTTTCCCGACACACAAAAAATATTTCCTTATATCAAAGTGTCCTAATAGCATTTTAAATTTATTTTTGCTTGAATCCCTATTTAGACTTACTGAAAGAAAGCACGTATACCACCTCAAAATAAAGTGCTCGATCATTAAAGACCCAACAAATTTCTCAAACAACTGCACTTAAATTATTATGCAAATGCTGTGTCATAAATATGAAATTCAACACTTAACCAACTTACATCTCAATGCCACTGAATGCCTTTGCCATATGGCAAAGCAGCTCGCCATGCATGCTCTCACATAGGAACAAGACCGCCACTGGTATCATTCAGGTTCCTGGCCAGACAAAAATACAAGTTAGCAAATACGGACCAATCAGACTCATCAACATAAAATAACAATTCACAATTGTTAGATCACATGCAAATAAACATCAACAAGTCAAGTCTAAAAATCATACTTTTCACATTATCTCTAAACGCAATCATTAGTAAGCATACTAATGGCGAAATAACACCTTCAAATATTATTGCAATATATGACGATAAATTCAATTTAATAATTCCAACACATCTTCATATAATTACACTTTTGCTCCGAGAAGATGTTTCGGGATAAATAACTCCAATAAAATGTTTCAAAGATAAATTAGATCATGAAGCAAAATTGTCAAACTTACTAATATCTATGAATATGTCAACTCCAAGTGAAGTTAGCTTAATCTTTGAATATTATATGCATCACTTCAAACTAGTAATGTGTAACATTTTATTACATTTTTCAATACATATTTCTTGTAAATATAATTTAATAGTACCTATTCTGCCTTAAGTTATGTGTGCTCCATAGTAAAGCTGATACATAAGGAAAATTAGTTTCATTTTCCTCAGTTGGTTTAAAATTCAATGTCTCACTGAACTTGCAGTCATCAAGCAATTCCATAATTTGCTATTCAATTTCGTTTCATTTTACTGTGGATAATGCTCTAAAACCCAGAGTGCATCGCATAAATTAACAATCCTTAAATTCCTATCAACATTATAAGCAAATACTGAAGTTTTTAAACTTCTGGGTTAGGGATGAACACACACTATACCGACAGTATGTCTACAAATTAAACTTCTCAGAAAGCATTTTTATGAGTCTGCATTAAGATGCAGTAAAAGTTCAAACTGATGGAAAAGTACTTCGTACTGTCTGAAACATCCATGTGTGCTTGAATTCTTTTATGTGGCACTCATAACTTCCCACTCTGCCGTCACCCACAAATATCTATGACCTACATACATAGCAGTGCATTTAAAAACAACATTAACTCTTGCCACTCACCTGCCTGTGTTGCATGTTATTACATGTAACTATTGTTCCCCCTTGTGTACCAACTTTGTTTTCAAGCCTTCAATGTTGTGCCTCATTTAATACATTTTCTGTTCTTGTTCATTGCCTTGCTTAAAGAATCTAAGGCCAGCTATAAATAACACTTTATTAGTTAGGTAAAAAGTAACACAGAAGTTGAAATATAAAATTAGGAGCAGAAATTTTTTTCTTTCGTGTGCACCAGGAATAAACACTGAGCCTGTGTCTTCTTTATAACTGCCAACTTTCCTACAAAACGATTTGAATATACCAATAACCTTGCAGTTCCAATCTGAATTATGAGCCAAATTACAATTTCTCAGAACAGGTCTCATAACTTCACTGCTATAGAACTTCATATTCTCAAAAATATCACATTCTTTTAACTATGATTATTAAGTATACTTGCTGAATTTAAATCTTAAAAACATTCACAACACCATGTATATTCAACTATAAATCTGTGACTTGTACTGCAATGTGTCCATGGACAAATGCTTTACCGAGTATCACTTCACTGAAACAATTTTAAATTCTTTCCAGCAATAACATTTCTATGATTTTTCACATTGCGTGCACAGTTTCCTCAGCACATTCAAGGCTTTAGGGAAGCAGGTAGGAAATAAATTGTATTCTTCAATACAATTAAGCCACAGATAAAAACAAAATAGTAAAGATGTTTCCATATTATTATTTACATAAAAATGATCAGTACTCTGCAGTTTTATATTAAGAATTACACTTGTTTAAAATGTGAAATTGTATCAACATTTCAGTAATAAGGAAGAGATATTCTGGTAAGAACCTATCTGATACAAATTAAATGTTACAAAACTTTTAGATCCTATTCACACACATGTAAATTGTGTAAAGGAAAACTCAGTTTCTCAGAAGTTGGAATGTTAAAAAAAACTAATATTGTTGCATAAGTCAAAGGTGCTATATTTCACAAACATGGGGAAAAATAATACTCTTAGCAAACACCATATTGTATGTTTTAATCCTTCAACAGGATGTTCCTCCATCAAGACAATCATCTACACTTACAAGCATACTGTTTTTACTAAATTAGATATGAACATTAATTCACAAGGACAATGTATGCACACAGGACACACTAAGAGTGGCCGTAAGTTATAGAATGGGTCTCTACATAACCCTGGCTGCGAACATATCTTATAACCCATTCTCAATAAGCCAATGGACTGATAATGTTCAACCCCAAATAAAATATTCATTCTTCGCATTCTGCTCCATATCTTGAGTTTGCAGTTTCAGACACAATTCGTATCTTCCGTAAGAATAAGTTCAGTACCAATTAAGACAAAAACAAAAACCAAGGATGACCCTTTTTTATCTGAGTGAGATTTTTAAGTCCTTCATCCATTTCTTCAAAGTGCAATGGCAAGATATATTTCTTGTGCACATCAACTTCTATTACAAGCTTTTCTGTTTGGGTTGTTTGCTCCATATTGAACATCTAATACAACTGCATTGGTCGACCCAGTCATATTAATTTAAAATAAGTTTAAGCCTTTTTTTGTCATTTGGCTAGAACAGCATTCTCAATTCTTTGCACTAAGAGGCCTATTATGATTGGCCAAGTCTTAGTAGCGTCGTGACTGGCCACCATAATCGCGAGCCTGGCCGTAGCCAGCTGAACTGCCACCTGCAAGCAACGCAATATCAACACACACAAATTATACTAATTTTCCTTTAACATCATATCTCAGTGACAACAGCAGGTCCAGCAAGGGACTATTCTGTACACTGAAATGTGCAAGGCAAACAAATGAAGGCACTAATGCTTATATATCTTCAGTGTTAGAATGTTAATTTTATCATCTCATATGATTACAGCGTGGCCAATTTTAAACACATTCAGAAACCAAAATTAGAATATGGTTATCAATAACTCAAGACATGATTTAAGTTAGCCAGCTATCCAAATGGTACTCTTTGTTTATAAATACTGTCTTGAAACCAAACATCCTAAGACTCAGATATTAAGATGAATGGCTGCCTACAAAACGTGATACACAGCAATCCAGACACCCTTCATAACAAAGTTTAATTTACTACAAGATATATTCCAATAACCCTGAAATAAATTACTAATGCACCACAGAAATTCTTCCAAGTGTTTTCCATATAAATTACCTACATCTAAGTTTTAAAATTAGATCAAAACATAACAGTGAACCTCTTCTCCAACAACAATGTTTCCAGAATTAATGCCTAAAACTTTCATCCATCTATACACAAGTCTGATCAAAAAGTCCTATGACCAACTTTCTCACGGTGACTACTTGTCAGAACAGACGCATCCAACTTGCATCAAAACAGACTCATTCCGATGAATGAACAGATTCTATCAGTACGACCCCTCTAGAACTGTTCTTTAGGGACAGTATATGGTATGTGAATCATAACTTGTATGATCAATGGCAGTATAAGAAATCTTTACCCCAGTGTTTCAGAGTGAGAAAATGAAAGATTATTGTTTCTGCTATAACAAACAAGAGTACTGATCCCACAATCTGTTAATCGCCTTGCTTAGATGTTAAGGCACCTAGAAACGAAAAATTCAAATGTCTGAACAGCACTTCATCCCAACATGATAATTGTATCACGGGCTTTTGTTTTCCATCCCAGAACATTTTGATCAGTTTTCATACATAAAAACAAATTAAAATTTCTTATTTACGACAGATGGGAAGAGGACAGCAACAATTACATCTTAATACCAAAGGAATCCACATTCAGCATAGCATCTCCTTCAAATGTTACTCATTTAGTATTAATGTGCTACTCTACCACCTGTCCCTTTATATCAGTGGTATTCAACGTTTTTTTGTTCGCGTACCCCCAGATATAATTTCTCTTCAACTTTGTACCCCCAAAGTTGTTAGTGTATAATTCAAGTTATACATAGTATATAATCTACATCTAAAATAAATTAAACAAATTACATTACTGATTATTCAGTGTTTATCATAATTTTTTTTTTAATTTCACGTACCCCAGGTTGAATACCAGTGCTCTATATCAAGCAACTCTAGATATCAAACTAAAACCAACGGGTATGTAGCTCAATGCAAGAAAACAATCCTTCCAATGCTAAAATACTAGAATAATGACTCTCATAACAGTACAAGGACACCGAAACTTTACAGTCCAAGATGAAACGGCCATTGCACCAATGATCACTACACCAAATACGAAGACCAATACTACTGGTAAAACACCTCAAGTTCTTCCATAGAGATAACAGCACATGACCCATACACTTTCAGGGATAGTTCATGGGTTTATATGACACTGGTCTGAGACTTCATTAAAGGGGCAGTAGGAAAGTTACACTTAACCTTCATTCTCAAGCAAAGCTACAAACAAGCTTGAAGCCATACCAAAACTATGGGACACGACACCTGACAGCGAAGTCCGTACATCTACTGGACCTCATACATTTAGCGGGGATGGAGATGAACCCTACTTACTACACCACTTTTAGTGCACACAGATGTGGCTGTTTGCAATGACAGTATAACGTCTTAGTGGCGTGATAATAAAAATATATCAAATTATGCTTGGAATATTGAAAATGGTGAAATAAAAATAAACAGCTTCCTTTATCAATATTTTTTGCCCACTACAGATCTTTACAATCTTGGAAAAGTCTTATATTTTTTTTTTTCAGAAATGAAATGGGATTAAAAATCATCATGCTCTGCTGATAGCGCTGATGCAGTTTTCTAAAACCCACTTTTCCCTTAGAATTTAACTAGCTGATGTAGCTCTTTCCCAAAACATAGCGAGCCGCCTCTGACAAGGGATTATTACAAGTTTCTTGTACCGTTTGAAACGCCAACAATGTTAACAGCTTGAATTCATGTCCGTAAGTCAGGAAGAGATCGAGTGAACGCACATGTTATTAATATAAATAAACAGGGGTTTCAACTTGTAAGTGCTGAAGCGACAATGGGCACCGTCTTAAAGTGGGTACAAAGATGTTTCACCATACAGATTCCAATTCCAGTGACCAAATTAATCATAAGCCTAACAAATAACTTAAATAAGGTATATAGCACGTCACTCAAAGTTTCCTTTATAAATTATCAGTAATTTTAACCGATGCAACTACATACTTCATGATATTAGCAACTTAAGATTTATTTGCATTACAGTTATGACCGATTTTGCTACAATGTAGGCCCCCCACATTAAAACTAAATTCTAAAACTGTAATACCTTAAATACATTTTAGTGTTTGTTCAATATTGCAAAAATATGAACTTCTCATAAATTGAAAGTATTTGTTAAAATTTTACCTTACTCCTGTTGATTCAGTAAGTTAACCAAATACCTGGAAACAAAATTAAGTGGTGAAAAGGTTCACAGTTTAATGCTTAAAAATCTAATGCAGTCCAACTGTAATTTAAAATATGTTATTCCTACAAGACCGAAGAGATAAAAATGAAATGTATATATTATGTTCACTGTATTATATCCACTTATGATATATATTGTTCAATAAAGCACACTTTTCCAAACAAGTACTGTCACTTCCTTGGTATCTTTTCACTTAAGCTTATCCACCAATTATAAATTACGTACTTTTCTTTATCCCATCATATACACTTAATATTTGAGCACACATGTATATAAATCCTTAATCTTGTGTTTGCAATATTATCCTCTTAGGAAAATTATCAACTGAAACTGTGTTCAAACATTACAAACAAAAATTCAGCACGGAAATAATCCAGCTGCAACATTAATGTACCCTGCGCACTCACAGATGGCATCATTAGCCACATCCAGAATAATCAAGTCATTCAAATTGTATTTTCAGTTACCAACAAAACTGATCCTTAAGGCTGTCACGGTTACACCGCAAAACATCCCATTCGAGCATGCCTGCACACATTTCTAATTTCCTGGTATTCATCAAAGGGGAAAACCTTTAGTCTCAGTAACAAATATTTCTACTACTGATTTTAAACTCATAGATTCAATCAGTATTATTCAATACTGTTAGTGCCAGTAATAACATGACATCTTTTTTATAAAGTTCTTACACTCCTGTCATTATCATCATCATCATAAGAAAACCTCCATGGAAAACTTTCTCTTATCACTCTTCAGTAAAGATTTAATCATTATTTAATACTGCAAATGTCTTCTTTCGCAATGATCTTTGTATTCAATCACCAGTATTCAATACTGCAATTACTAAAATCATAATGAAACATATGTACAGACTCAATCACCATTCTATATTGTAACTAGTAGAATGTTAAAAGAGCTTTGTTTATCAATGTGCCACAAGAATGCTGTTATCCAATATTTCAACCACTAAAATGTTAATTGGACAGCTTTACACATCAATGATTTGGAAATATCCAATCATCATCATTCTAGTGACTGATAAAATGTTACTAGAACCAACCGCTTTACTCAGTTATATTTTGTGAAAATCATTATTCCATACCTGAACTATTAAAATGTTAGTAGGAAACACTCCTTGGTAATACTCTGCTAATGCAATGGAGGGTCGCACTTCTTTCATATTAATTTAAATAATTCCTCAACATACATTTTCAACCACCATACGCGTATAAAAACAAAATGGGAAGTCAGCAAACCAGTTCTATATTTTGTGGTAATGTTCCTTTATCATAAAGTGAGAACAACTGATTAGCGTTAATGATTATCCTCTATGGAATATGACGACGTAAACTCAATTTTACCTTCACTAAGAAATATATTTGAACATTATACTCACCATATTCTGCCTTCCCATAACCTCCACCATAACCCGGTGTTTCTGCAAATGGAAATAAAAATAACTGAAGACCTACATAACCACACACTCATTAATCATAATATTTTTGAATAAAATCACATGCGAGCACAAACTGTGACTGCCAAAAATATATTTCTGCTTTGTTTTAGCATATTTAGTGAAACCCTAGACCCACATATTCTTGTTTTTTTTTTGTATCCAGTACACACCATTCAGCATGGTGTGCATTGGTGGTTAGCAGGATTCACGACCCATCAGTACATGGGTTTTACAGGGACTGCGATATTTAACGCTCCTGCTATGACCCCCTTTGCAAAATGATGATGAAAGTCGAGTAATTGTTGGGATGTCACAGAGAAACCCCGGAAGAAAACTCTGTGATGCCTGGACCACAGCCTTGCCCAACACAAGTTGTAAATCAAACCCTGGACCCCAGTATTACAAGCCTAGCGTTCTAACCGCTAGACCACCGTGGCAGCCACATATTCATTGAATCAATAAGAGTAAAAGTCAAATCTGGCATCCAGAGTTCAGTAAATGCCCACATGGGGCAATCTGATACATACACATACACACAAGAGCTTCACCAAAAATAAAAATATGAGTTGCAATAATTTATGTGTAAAATACTGACATCACAATAGCCAAAGCTACAAGATAATCAATGAAAATGTCACTCATCACACACACCCTCAGATTTAAAATGGGAATACTACACTGGAAAGTGCAACATGAAGCTTCCTCACATATCTGAGACACAATAGTTTTCATGGCAGCGAGGACAATGATTTGAGTTTTGGCACTGTGTACACTTGTCGATATACACCGTGATTTATACAAAAATACTGTCTTCATCTTCAGGGCGGAAGTGATGATGCCGGGAAGTAGAATGATTTATACAGGTTCAGAGAAGGAAAGAGGTTCCAAACAATAGGTGCTAGAGAGCTGAGCTGAGCAGAGCAGGTATAGAATAATCTGGCCCTTTTTACAGCCTATCAGATGGGTTTCTCAATGTTACACTTCTATAAATGGTTAGCTGCATAACACCTTTCATT